TTCTTGAATGCTCTTAATTCTTCTACGTCGTCTTTTTGCGCAGGAAAAAAGCTTGATATATTCCTCCCGGAAGTTTTTATTCAATACTCCGTATATAACTGGGTTGATTGCCCCAGAAAGATTTCCCAGATAGAGATACAAAACATATATCTCCCTGGGAAAAGCCACGTCACCTTGAAATGTGTCGACAAAATCTATGATAAGGATTGGTGTCCAACAAGCCAAGAAAGCTATAACTGTGATAAAAAGGATCTTGGTAATTTTGATATCCCTCTGAGTAGCCATCGTGGACAAAGAAGCCGATTGAATATTGTTTTGAACAGTTTGGCGATGGAGTCGCAGTTTTTTAAAAACACAAAAGTAGCTAAGAGTTACTACCGGTACTCCGACATAAAGATAAACGAGTAAATTTGGAACGGTTATTTCCGTCGTCTGAAAACAAAACATCTTTCCGGGCTGAAACACATAGCGTTTTTCGAAAGAGAAGTAAGGAATTGGCTCCAAGCAAGCCAAAATGAAACAAAGTCCTATCATGGTTACGGTCTTCCCCTTGGTGAAAATACGTCGGTAATGTTTCGTTCGTACTATTCGATAAAATCGATTTATGGCTGTCAGTGTAAGGATGAGCAAAGATGTACAGGCAAATACGATCACAAAATATCCCTGAGCTTGACAGACGTTGTGGTTAAATGGCCAGCGTCCAACCGCTATCACTGCAATGGTTTGCGGGGACGTTACAAGTGGAAGAAGAATATCAGACAATGCCAAGGCTGCAATGAAGTAGTTAGGAATCGTTCGAAGCTGAGAATTTCTGTAAATTGCCTGAAGCACAGAGTAATTACCAATTATTGAAACCAAAATTATCAGGGAATAGAAAAATGTTTCAACGATAACCAGCGCCTGCTCTCTGTTACTTAACTCATCACTGAGTTTCGGAAACCCTTCAGACATCGCTTTATCGACTCTTGACTTTCTTTGACTTGAGTCTTGTATGAAACCAAGTGAACACGATATTGGAAAGAGGAGACTGTTTTACAAGCTGTTCCAATGTATTTAGGATAAAGCTTCTTGGTGTTTGTTAATCCCTAGAGCGCTAACAAGCAATATTATTCATTCAAAATATTTCCCCGACTCTGATTGGCTAAAAGCACACGTTTAATTAGTCTCGCTTGCGTAAGCAGCGAAACTCATAATCTGCAACGCGTGTTTCGCCCCCAGGGGTAGTCCCGGCCTTATTTAGGCTGTATAGTTATGTACCGCGCCAAAAGGTTTTTTTAAAAGCCGTTTTAGTTTGAAAAAGGGTATCAATTTCGACCATTTTGGTCTGAAACAGGGTATGGTTTGTCCCTTCTAGTTTCGAACTGGGTATTCGAATTGGTTATTTCGAATTAGCTACTTCTTCATTATTTGGCGATAAGACCATTTCCCTTTTAATGTTTACGCCAACTACCGTGTACGTGCCGTAACAGCTTGTCATGCGCTCCGGTCACGCGCCGGGCTCCAGGGCTTCAGGTCTGAATTTGAGTATTAAATTTTTGATCATGTCTGAAATAGGGCAGGGAAAATGACAGACTTTGGTCTGAAATAGGGTAAGGGTTTCAGGAAGCGTGCTGCACACCCCACCCAATTTTTCTGAAATTACCCCCCCGCAATTTTTGGTCCGTTTTTGGGGTCACAAAAAGCAGGCCATTGTGCCAGGCGTTCCTTGTGGAGACCGTGGAAACTGGGACTAAGAATCGTTGCACGATTGAAGCCAAGCATGTTTTGCGAAGAAAGGTTAGGAAAGATTAAATTTAAAGCGTCTCCGAAACGTGTCGGTCCACGAATTCTATCGCTTGGAAGCATTGATTACTTTGGAGTAAGTCTGGGAGCAAGTGAACACTACTGAGTGGTCGAAAAAAAGTAACAATCTTAATTAGCAACATTGCGATGATCGGGTGTTGTAAACTTTCACTGTATGCAAATGAGTCTTGTGATAAGCATGCGATTTATTTTCGGCGAGGATTGAAATGACGTGCCATGTAAATCACTTTTCCGATATCTGGCAATGATGCAATTTCTCTGGAATCGAGGCCCTTGAGTTTTCGTGTATTTATACACGTGTATATCCTGCTACCGGAGAGGTATTTTTGGTCGTCGCTAACACGCGTACAAAATCAATTCAGAAACAAATAACAAGTATCTACGTCGATAAAGTAGGAAGTAAAAAAACCCAATTAGTGAGGCACTGTGCCTGAGCTATAAGACATGAGACTTTTAGAATTGTTTTAAAGTCAAAAAATGATCATGCTTATAAAATTACTTATTTGAAATGTACTCTTAACCTGAACTCAAATTCCAAAAATGAAGCATTTTTGTTAAATATAGGCCGATAAAACGAAGGCCAAAGTTGGTATTAAAGAAGCTTTTTTGGAAATATTTATAGTCAAAGGGCTGAAATCCGACGCGATACTTTCCGTTGTTGACAGAAATGTTGCAATTTTCACAACCCGACACGCAATAAAGCGTTACGAGTTTCAAGTAAGCCAGGGCAAATTATAGCAAAATTTGCTTACATTCTGCTTCCCCAAATTAAGCACGATTGTTTTGATATTTCTAAATCATTTCTATGGCTGTAAAAAGCCTTCTCGAGACACATCAGATAGAGGATCCTTGCAAGGACGATGACAGATAGGCCGCAGTTAAATGATCTGTTACGCAAATTAGTACGTTGCTAAGGCTAAAACACGAAACGAGTTCAAACGAAGATTTTCGTATTTTCTCGCCACTTTTCCTGCTACAATCGGATCAGTGTCAGTACGAACATCAAGAACAGCAATTTACTCGTAAGAATTCAAGATGGCGACAATACAAT